GGGCACCCATGACGTTTTACTGATTTGAATACCTTTAGCACTAATTATTGGAACACAAAATTTGTTTGGTAAATTCATTGACCCTTGACCTACATACACAGGTGAATCCACTTATTAGAAAGGGTATTTAAGGTGGCCAATTGCAAGTTTTTCTCCTCTTTGCATCTTCTCTGAGTGGCAACCTTAAAACAACTCTCGAATGACCTGAAAACAAAGATTGTTCAACATCATAGTTTAGGGCAGGGGTGGGCAACTCCAGGCCTCGAGGGCCGGTGTCCCTGCAGGATTTAGATGTGTCCTTGAACCAACACAATTGATTTAAATGGCTAAATTAGCTTCTGCAGTTCTCCAGAGGCCTGGAAATGAACTAATCATGTGATTCAGATTTAGTGCCCAAATTTATGCACCAGCCTAATTTAGTTTAAGTAACTATTGCACACTTTCTGTAAATCCTAAAAACATCATTTCACTTCTCAAATATCACTGCGTTCGTCTGCTATATGATATATTTAAATTAAATTGCTCATCCAAACAGTGTTTTATGAAGGAAAATCATGAAAATAATCAGGGGTGCCCAAACTTTTGCATAACACTGTAAAATAGTTTATGCAGATAGTACACCTGTTTTAATTATAACTATCAGGACTGCATGTTAATGAGTCCGGTTTTAACTGACTGGTTTTTTTTTAAACTAAAATTTCAAGACATAACAGAAAAAACTGCATGTGTGACTGCAGTTTTTATGTTGACCTTTTGTGAGTGTGTTTCACTTCCTTTATATAGTCTCTGGGTACAATAAAGATTTCTCCTTGTATGGTGAAACCAGGCGTGTCGTTAGGTCTGGGCAGATCATTTCATGACACTGAGGCTCTCGGTGCTTCTAAAATGTTTCTTGATAGAATTCACACATTGAGCTAAGGATTCACACACTTCTCATGTTGTTGCACATGTCTATTTTTCATGTAACTGAAACACAAACTTTTTTTAAAATATTTTTTTATATTAGCAAGGCCTTTTATTTAAGGAAACACACAAGCCTTAAATAAAACAACAACAAAACAAACAAACAAAATCAGGTGTTTTTGCCTTTATTGGAGAGTAGAAAGGCAAGCAGGGAGTGTGCAGAGGACACTCAGCAAAGGGTGAGGGTTTTTTTTTTTATAGTTACCTCCTCACCCTGTGAGCTAAACTGGTGCCCTAGACAACAGTAACAGGAGTCGCATCTGACTTCCTGCCAATATGCTAAAGAAATGTAACTGCACACTTAAAGACATGCAGATGTGATTGTAGTGTGATCTTTTAAAAATGCCAGCTCTTGTTTTCTCAACCATGAAGATCATTTCCCTCTTCGTGTCCAAATGGGTGTCTCAGAAATCTCCAATTCTTGTAAGTTTAAAGAGGAAGTAATGTGTCAACTGCTTTTACCCCGTTTCAAACAATACGCCGAATATAACAATGCTCTTTTTGGTCAGAGCTTTCACACATCCTCCTGTGAGGCTGCTCACTAACAGGATGCTGTTGGAGGCTGTTGCTGACAGTGTCAACACACACTGAACAGTGAGAAGGCAAAGATATATTTTTAATAAGAATGCTTTTAAGTTAGGGCGAGCATGACCAGTGAGCTTGGTTACTGACACATGCTTATCAGATTTGGTATTGCATAAAGAAAAAGTGATGACGGGTGTACTCTCTAGTTGTGCAGTCACCTGTGCTCCAAAGAAAAAAACTAAATGATGAACCCAAAATCCAACATGTTTTACTTGTATTTATTTCTCTCATTTAATTTATTTTCAACAATTACAGATGTAGATATAGTCAGGCTTTAAAACCTAATCACCAAAATATTTAATTTAATTGTTACATTATTCATAATTAAACAGCCAAAATTAAACAAAATTTCATGGCCAATGAGGCAGGCTCAACTCAAACATACGTCTCAAAGTAAAAGTTCAGTGTGTTTATTCACAATGAAGTCGATAATGTTAAACACAGTGCAAAAAGGGGAAATCCTGCTCCAGGGAGGAAGGGAAAGGAATACAAGCATCCAATAATCCAAATACATGTTTGTTTGTTTGTTTGTGTGTTTGTTTGTTTTTAAATAAAATGGACGTTTCTTTCTAAACGAACACAACAGCTCATAGCCCTTTACTTCAAAAACATGGATTAATCAACTGCAGACACTACACTCTGGAAAAAAGAGAAAAAGACAGCAGGTATATAGTGGAAGCCTGGTTGTCCCAGGTTTACACTGCAACTTGAAAGCAGCTTACATTTGTGGATCTGTGGGAAGCTGGCAGCATTAAATGTTACTCAAAACCCCCACTGGGCATGCAATGTGATGTGCGTCTCAAGCTATTTGTCCACACAAATTTAGCGTTTTTTTTAACCAAGAGCAATGTTAATTATTTGTACACACAGAAAGGTTTTTGATAGGTGAGCTGAACTTAATAAAATAATGAGTAGTTATCCAGGTTTTAATGTACGCATTTGTAAAATAGTTTCACTTGTGGTCAAATTGCTTCATATTTGAGTGTGGATTCAAACACATTCACGTGACTCCTCAAAAGTTACACACAAATCATAGCACACATTTATGAAGCTTATTTTATGCAGGTGGATCATATCATACACATGTGTAACCCTTTAAAGACACATTTCTCTCCATAGTTTCCAGCATTATGGGGAACATTAAGTCATTTCTGTTAACTGTTGCCTTCAAATGCCTGTTTGTTCTAACCCAGTTTCTTCTCAGTTCTCCTAGTTACTTCCCTGTACTTCTACAGAAACCTTGCTAATCTGGACAACTACTTACCTGCTGCTTGCAAAAACATTTATCTCTATTTTCTGTTCTGACACCAATTCTCTGTAAACTGTCACAAGAAGGACTTCTCCCCCAACTCTCTGATAATTGCCAGGTGCCTACACACTACCTCCAATACATTTGTAAAGCTTAGTTTACGCTTGAGAATTATGTCGTACAGATTTGGAATCCTTTTGAGACATATTTGCCTTCGTTGCATCCAGGATAAGTCCCACCTGAGCTCAGCCAACAACAACAAGAGACAGACAGAAGGCCAACCTGGTGAAGTCAGCCAGGGAGGACTGAGGGACTATGACAGGGTTGTTACATTTTACATTTTAATGATCATGAAACTGATCTTGTGGCAGTAAATGGTGCTAGTTTCAGTCATCATGTAGCTGTAGTGTTTACAGCTGAGAATGAGCAATGAAACATTTCTCCCACTGAATGCAGGGCTGTATTCAGATTCTGGTATGAATGAATATTGGCAACAACAGTCATGAAAACCACTAATCACCCTATAAACTACAATCCTTAAAATGGTGATGTTAATTTTTAAAAATGGTTTAAGGTGTTTCTGCTTCCACTGTGGATGTAAATGCATTTACCTGCATGAGGAACATAAACTACATGTAAGTCACTAAAATATGAACTTTAAATGAGACTTTTGTTGAATTGGATTAAGCCAGTGGCTGAATGTAATAGACACTATGTGATGGGATAGTGCTAGTTGGTTGCAGATCTAAAAATAGTCCAGTGACAAGGTAAATAATGACTGAAAAAGCCTGTGGAAGCTGAGCTTCCTTTTATTTATGCCAAATAAGGTATATGTTGCTTTCACTTCCTTTTTTAGATTTACACATATGCAGTGAGAACACGATTTCCAAGGAGCCATTTATGACCAATAAGTATTGGAGATATGTGCATGCCATTTAATAAAGCACTCTGACAACTTCCAACTATGTCAACACACATTGAACAGTGAGGAGACATGGAAGCTGTGCTTGGCTTGATGGTGATTCTACTGGGAGTGCCTCATGGTGAGCTGATCAAGGTTTTTTAAAAATATAAATAATTATTAATAATATGTTACATATAAGCAATGTGTTTTGAACCAATACCATTTTTTAAAATAAGGGATGTTAAAGCAGCTCTACTAATACGTGAAAAAAGAGATTTGTGCTTTTATTTGTTTTAAAAAATCAGGTTATATTCTTTTTGGCAAAATCTACAGTTTGTAACCCTTTGAGCAGAGCTTTAGTTTCTTTATGGACATGTCTCTAATTTTAGTAGCAGTGGCTCTGAATTGGATAAATTGAAGAAAATGGATGAACAGGCATTAGGTTAATTGGTGACACTACTTTACCTGCAGTGTAAATTTGAGCAATAATTGCATAGGTGGAAGGAAATGGATGGATGGATAGTAGCAGTGGTAAGATAAACATAATAATGAGATTTTAAAAATTTAAGACTGTTCTTTGTTTCTGCTTCTTTCTTCTTTTTGTTGTTTCTGTTAAATGTTACTTTGTTCATATAAGCACTTTATGTTATTGTGCCATTTTTGTATCTATTTGTATTTTTTCATGAAAATATTAGCCTTTCAACTGACCTACTGAACTCTCTATAACTATCTGTAGGTGAAAAGAGTCTGAAAAGTTCTTCTATAGACATGGTATCCATGTTTTAGTTTTAATTGCCCAACAAATTTTATGGTGTTCGCTTTGGCCAAAACTGTGGAGGATCTGTTTAACTGTTTATCTTGGTTATTAACATGATTGCACTTTTGGAAACATTACTGTGGTGATTACTTGCACCTTGGAAAACTACTTCTGCAAAGTAGTCTGAGATCATATATTTATGGCAGTAGTACAATGCTCATCATTTTATACACACTCAATCAAAATAATGGATTATTCAATATGCAGTTTGGTATTACGTTTCAATGTGGTAGTTCAGAAATATTTGTAACACGTAAAACTATTTTACAGAAACTAACGAATTACAAATGTTTTTCTTTATTAATGTTTCAAAAGTTCCAGGTGTGGAAACTCACTGTGATGGCAGACAGGATGGAGCTCAGTGTTACGGAGCTTTGGGAGGAACTGTGGACATCCAGCTGATGGACAACACCTCAGAAATATCTAGATACAAAGTGTTAATTAATTCATTAAAAATACTAGATGTGAGAAAGAATAAGATTATTTCTAATACCATAGAACATAGATATCTTTTCCCCAGTAATGGAACATTTAGGATCAACAACCTGAGTAGGTCAGACAGTGGTAATTATACCCTTCAAACCTTTGATTCAGATGGAAGATCATCAGGCGAGCGGACTTTACAGTTGTTTATTCAAGGTAAATGCTTCCCTGTTGGGAAATTAAGCCATTAAAAGGTCTGAATTTAACCTTGTTTTGGTCATCTAAATATCTCACAAATCTCACATTTTAGATATTTGTGTTTCATGCTTTATACTTGGTTTTCATTAGAGACTACAACGAATGACAAAGATCCTGATTTTTAAAAAAAAATAAAGATCATCTGTGTGTTTTTCCTCAGCTCCTGTGTCCTCTGTCCTGCTGGTCTCTAAGTGTCTGTCCCAGGGAGAGATGAGGGTGTCCTGCTTCTCTGAGGGAGGGGACAGTCCTCAGTACAGCTGGACTTTGGATGGACGCACACTGACAGATGCTGAGCTCCTTTCTGGAGATAATGAGACTAACATCATGACTCTGAAACAGCACGTCTCAGGAACTCTGGTCTGCTCAGTCAGGAACAACGTCAGTAATGTCTCCAAAGAAAAGAAGATATCTACTTGTGGTGAGTGATAGTAGGCGATAATCACAACTTTTGACAATTAATGTCACTTTTTATAATGGTCATGAATTATCTCTTTTGCTCATAGGGTTCATTTTTATTAACTGCACCACAGTCAATGGGACAATGATATCGGGGTGGGTGCATAAAGCCAGTAACACCCTGTGTGTTGAACCAGCACAGATTCTTAAGGGTAAGGAGAACGGAGCTGCCATAAGTGATGACATATGGTGTATTAGAAATTGAAAACTAACTACATCCACTGGTGTCATTTTCTTATTTATCCCCATTTAATTTTTTCATAAAATCATGTTTTCTGACTCAAATAACAGCTCTTTTTTAAAAATTTATGAAACAGGAAATTTGCCACTAATTGGTGTTCTCACGACGCTCATCATTTTCTTACTTGTGGGTATAGCAGTCATCTGTGCTCAGCGGAAAAAGAAAAACAGCAAACATAAAAAACAAAAAGGTACAAAACTTCATCTTTTTCCTCACTCACAATGCTCAGATTGCTTTTTACTCTTTTTATAAAAATAAATAATTATTGGAAATTTTTAAATGAAACTTTTTTGATGACTTAGCAAGATATGCCAGTTAGATACGTGGATAGTGTTTAACCAGCTACCTTTATCACAGAAGACAGATCTGTCCTACCATAAAGTCTAAAGCTTGCTGATGAACCCACTTCAAAAGTCATATTTTGTGTGAATCATTTTACATTATTTCCAGTCTTTGTGATAAAACTAACCAACTTTTTCTGCCGGCCCACCCCTCTACTTGCTACTCCTCAGAGGAAGAAGATGACCAGGAAGAAATCTTTGCTGATATCAGGGTTGTGAAACGGCAGGCGAAACAACTGGAGAGAAGAGCTGAGCTAGAGTTTGGCAAAGTCAAGTATTCAAAGCGTCCTCGGCAGACGGAACCATCAGGAAATGCTTGTTTGTATGGCAACGTCCATAAAGCCATGTAATTTAAGTGGTCAGTGCTTATACACAGACTGCACAGCTGAAAGCTGATCAGTGAGGAGCTGCTGTCAATATGTCTAACTATTTTTCGTTAAATGTGATTTCCCATCAGAAAAATATAATATATACTATCAAAGGTAATACTTACTGATATAAATACTTACTGATAATTACTTTCATTGCACTTCCAATCTCTTGATTTAGTATGTTGCACAAATACTGTGAGTGTTTTCTGCATATATTCTGTGGAAGCTCTCATAGAACATTGTTATTTAGGTTATTGAGGGGAGGATCTAATCGTTAATCCAAGATGGCGCCGGTGTGCTCGGCAGGCTGGGCCCTCTACTGTTTGGAGTATCAGATCTCCTACCACTGTTATGCTGACAACATTGAAATCCATTTCCAATTGTCTGATGACCTGCCAGCTTCATTGAATCGTTTGTCTGACAGCTTGAGAGAGTTCCCAGTGGCTGTCAGCCAATTCTCTCATTTTAAATGAGAAGAAAACTGAGATTATGGTGTTTGATAGTCACACTCCACAAGATCAGCTAGCTGCCCGATTTGGTCCCTTTGCTTGCTTCTTAACGATACTGTAAGTAATCTAGGTGTTTTCCTGGATAGTTCATTTAAACTGGATAAACAGGTTTTCTTTGTGGTTAAATCTGGCTTCTTCCAATTGTGCCAAATTTCCAAGGTCAAACTTCTAATACCGTACAAAGATCTTGAAAAACGTATACATGCCTTTGTGACCTCCAGATTAGATTACTGTAAATCTCTCTACTCTGGACTCCAACTCGCTCACCTCCAATGGTTACAGCTTGTTCAGAATGCTGCAGCTCGTCTTCTAACCGGAACTAGAAAGTTTGCCTCCATTACTCCTGTGCTCTCTGACTTACATTGGCTGCCTGTTAAATTTCGTATTGATTATAAAGTTCTGCTGCTTACTTTCAAATGCATAAACAACCTTGCGCCCGACTATCTCACCAACCTCCTCAGTCTTTATACTCCTAGATGTTCTTTGTGATCATCTGGTCAGTGACTACGGGTGATTGTGCCATTGCCTCTGTAGCACCAAACCTCTGGAATAGTCTTCCTGCTACCATTCATGTTTCTGAGTCCATTCAATTCTTTAAAGCACACTTGAAAACTTACCTATTCAACCTGGCTTTTCCAACTTGCTAATTCTCACCGCTCACTAACTGCTGTATCGTTACTCATTTCTCTGGATTATCATGAATTCTCCCTATCCCTACTTACTAATGCCTTTGTTTGTTTCTCTATTTTACCTTGTTTTAATGACTTACTGTTTAGTGTAATCATTTTACTGTTTATTCCTTACTGTGAAGCACTTTGGTGTACCCCCTGAATTTAAACTTGCTATATAAATAAAATTGTATTGTATTGTATTGTATTGTATTTTTCTCTTTCCATTTGAATTTGACTTGTTTTTGACTTGGTAGAAGTTGGACCAGATCATCCAACTCAATTCAGTTTTATTTATATAGCACCAAATTACAACATGTTGCCTCAACGAGCTTTATATCATTTGGTAAAGACCCTACAATAATACGAAGAATCCTTAAAACACAAATAAAGTAAAAAGGCTGAACATTTGGATGTTTATAAGACATCCAGATATCAACAATTCCCCTTTAGTTGGCAAGTGTCCTCATTAAAAACACTGATGTTCAAATTACATAAAGGACAGGTGTGTGAGTCACTTTTTCATCTAAACATGTTTCAAATTGCTGCAAGTTGGATTTTACTTGGATTTGGCCACTGATATTAGTAAACAGAGGGACACTTCCAGGCTTTTTCAGCCTCAGAACAGGGGGATTGTTAACCTGCTGGTCCGCTGTTGTGCACTTTTTATAAGATGGTTGTTATCACAAAATACATCAGAAATTTGTTTAGCTCATCTTGAAAGTTGTAACATTAGTGGTGATTGAGCTATATGACTTCAGTCTACCATGAGATGGCTGGCCATTTAAAGAAAAAAACCCCTCATTATTATTCATTATTAGTCATCATTATCACAATTACCTGGGTTTACGCACGTCTTAGAAAAAGAAGGTTGTTCACAAACTCGTGTTTTTTTTTCTCTGTTCCTGTTATGACACCAAGCTCAATTTTTCACACTACACTCCTCTTGTTTGCGCTCCTCTCATTTTGCCCTGCACTTATACCTTAACGGTTTATTTTGCTTTACTTGTTTTGCATTGGTTTATTCCTGCAACCATTTTTATCCCATTATTTTCCTTAAAGTGGTGTACTTGTACATTTTTAATAAGAACCACACTAAATATGTCAATAACTTCAATCTACAATCATCACCCTTTGAAATAGGAAAGGAAACTTCCCATAAACAGGAAGGGAAAATTCATGCTTCTTCTTTTTGATAAAGCTAAAATTTGTGTTTACCTTGGGTGTGCGTGTGTTTGCTTCCCCGGTAAAGCAACAGAAACAGTGCACCAACAATAGAAGGTCACAGGAAGTGCTGGTTATGATTTACTGCATAGAAAGGATAAAATGGTCACAGGCAGTAATAAAATTGGATGTTTCAAAATAGAAAGCGACCATCCTACTTTTATTTCAGAGTTCAGTTTTTAAATTCTGGCTGAACTCAATTCAATGCAATAAAATTTTATTAATCAATGCAGGTCCAAGGTTGGCCCTGAAGGAAATTGGGTGTGTGTGTGTGTTCCGTGTTCAGCTGAGAGAAAGTGTCCCTTCACCCAGTTAGGCAAAAGTCAACAATCTTTGGTCGACGTGGGGTGGCCTTAAGGGAGGGGGAAAGAGAGTCACAACAACAATCTTGTTATCTAAGGGAGAATTTTGTTATTTCTGCCAGCTTTTGCCTTGAGCAACCAGCTGGCGCCAGGGGGGCCGCATGAGTTGAGGATGGTAGTTGTTTTAGTTAGTGCAAACAAACTGCATCCAATTTTACAGTTGGTCTAATCTCCATTACTGGTCACCAGGTCTCTCAATTCCCATTGCAGAGCCATTAGCTTCTCCAAGATTTTGCCCATATGCATTCAATAAACAGTCTGAACTGTGTTTTAGTCCATTATAGTATGAAATAAATAAGATGGACCATATTATTATTTAATTATTTTTCTTTGGTGGTTTCTAAGTACAGGTCATCTTCCACTTCCATTACCTATGGTGTGCCACGTGGTTCTGTATTGGGACCTTTATTGTTTCTAATATATCTACTTCCTCTTCAGCATACTTTGACCCCTTTAAGGACATTTGCTATCACTGCTATGCAAATGACATACAGTTATACATTTCTTTTAAGCCCCAAGATGTTTCTAAGCTGTAGATTCTAAATCAGTGCTTAGACTCCATTAAAGGTTGGATGGCTGACAACTTCCTTCAACTTAATGAAGGAAAAACTAAAGTCCTTGAATGTGCTCCTGACAGATTTGCACCTAAGACAATGAAAGCTCTTGGTCCCCTTTTGACATTTGTGAAATTGTCTATCAGCAACCTAGAGGTAAACTTTTAACTTGGCTCTCACTTTGGATGTTCATGTCAAATATCTGCTTCGGTTTTGCTTTTATCATCTAAGAAACATTGTTAAATTAAGCCCTGTTGTATCTCACACCAAGCTGGAGATTGTTACACATGCATTCATTTCATCACGTTTAGACTATAGTAATTCACTGTTTATATGTCTATGCAAAAACTCCCTTGAGTGTCTGCAGGTTGTTCAAAACACCGCACACACAGCATACAAGGCGGAGAACTAAGGGAGACAGGGGAAAACTTCACCCTGAGAAACCCTTTGCCACTGTGGCCCCCAGACTGTGGAACGCTCTCCCTCTGAGCTTAAGATCTGTGGACTCAGTAGTCTTTTTTAAAAAAATAACTAAAAACTCATCTTTTTAGAATTGCTTTTGGTTAACTTTCTATCTGTCTTTGTTTTATGCCTTGGTATTTCTGTGTGAAGCATTTTGTGATCTTTTGTCTTGAAAGGTGCTATATAAATAAAATTTTACTTTACTTTACTCAAAGTCCTAACAAGAATATTATTTGCGGTTATTTTTAATACTTGAATATAAGCATAGCCATAGAAAATATGTAACTATCCATTTTAAACTAGTTGAAACCTCACAATTTTACACAATTATATACTCATGTATTTGTCTCATATGGTTCTAATTACAGATGTAGGCCTTTCAGTATCATTATTTTAATCAGTAATGACATGAAACATTTGACAGAATTAAAGTAGGAACTTTAATTGAGTTTTTTCTTGTTCTGTATTTAAAACATTTCAGTTAACTGTCCTTCTGATGTCCTCCACAAATTAATTTTTTAAGCCTTTGCTGCCATTTTGATAAACAGTTGTTTAAGAAAAGGTAAGAAGTGAACAGATAAGTATGAAAAGGTGTGACGTTTCCCTCTACTGGTTTACAGATGCATTACTGTTGCTTATCGATAATGTCTGTATTGAGTGAAGTTCATTATTATTAGCTAAATATAAAACATACATTTCACCCCCACATTTCTTCTTATAATTATGAGTTCAGTGTGTTCTTTGACAAGAGTGAAAAACTTCATGAACTTCATAAAACTAAACATGATGCCTTCCACCCAAGAATGAGCTTTGTTTTCCACTCCAATCGCTCATCTCTGTACCCCTGTGATTTCAAAACAGCCATATATAAAAAAAAACATAAAAAAACCCTTTCTTTACATTAAAATCATTTGGCACCAGACTGTTGGCAAGAGCTACCCACTGTTGCTGTGGATTTGATGCTTTAGAGGTGACCCTTACAGACTGGTTGGCTATCCCAAGGTAGGTGGTTTGTAGTGCATAGAGTTAGCTATTTAAAGCAACAGTGAGTGTTTTCACCACAGATAGCCATGTAGATTGTTCTAGATCTGATGTAGATAATAATAATAATGATAATAATGGATTGGATTTATATAGCGCTTTTCAAGGCACCCAAAGCACTTTACAATACCACTATTCATTCACTCTCACATTCACACACTGGTGGAGGCAAGCTACAGTTGTAGCTACAGCTGCCCTGGGGCAGACTGACAGAAGCGAGGCTGCCATATCGCGCCATCGGCCCCTCTGGCCAACACCAGATCACGCAGATCTGCGTGATTTGGCACGATGGATAGCTACACCAATGCATCCATGTACTTCAGCACCATAGACAGCTACACCATGGGTTTTAGTGCTATGGACAGCTACACTAGTGTGTCTGTGTGAGTAGAAGGTACAGATATATGTTAAAATATTTAGAGAGTAAAAGTAAAAGTTCTCAGAAAAAATAAATACTCAAGTCAAGTACAGATACATGAAAATTTAAGTACAGTAACAAAGTATTTTTACTCTGTTACTTTC